TATATAGTGCAGAATTGATTGCTATAAGGGAAGCTATGAAGTATGCGAATGACAAGCAAATCCCAAATGTCATCATATATACAGATTATCATAGCTGTGTTCAAAAACTTCGTAATGACAAAATGTTGTTTATAGCGGACTACATTATCATCGACATCCTTGAACTTTTAGCAATGATCAGGTCTAAAGGGCATAAAGTAGTAATCACCTGGATCAAAGGCCATACGGGGTTCAAACACAGTGATGTAGATCGGCTAGCCAAAGATGCCACCACAACGGACAACATTCGTAGCTGTAACCGGAAAAGATCTGCATGCTATATTAAGGTTGCAGCAGCAGATAGATTGGCAAACCAAATACCTTTCAAACAACAAAGGTATATTCTACAAAAATATGTTTCCGTTAGTAGGACAAGAGCCTTGGTTCAGCACAGCAAACAATATAAACAAGGCCTTTTGCAAAACGATGATGTTACGATCCAATCACGGACTCTGCAAGGGATACCTCAACAGACTGAATATAATTCCATCACCGTACTGTAAAGACTGTGGAACATAAGAGGATCTTGAACACATTATCATGCACTACTGGAAACACGGGAATGAACGCAGAAATATGTTCGATAGACTTTCTAATGCCAAAGAAATAAATGTACAACTGCCTTATGTATACGGTACTTTGTTATCGTCAACCGAATTGGCTGTATATCGTGAGTTGTACCGTTTTCTTAGAAATAGTAATGTTACTGTGATTGTATAAAAGTGTATAATAATGTAATATCTAGTTCTCAATAATATAAATAATGCAATAATGTAAAAAAATGGCTGTATAAAATTTTTGGATTCAAATAAATAAATTTAAAAAAGGTTCGAATTAGTTTAGTAACGGTTTAGTATGCCATTAGAGGTGAGCTTTGATTTATCAGTCTACAGAACGTATGGAAGAACGTTTTCTGCAGCCTCCCAAATCAAAATTTGGGGGGGGGGCGTCGGTGGCTGCAACGGTTTAGGCATTAACATGTCGCTCATCACTGTAAAGGTCCCGGGTTCGAATCCAGCATCCCTGCATTCGAACCCGACATATGAATGGGCTTTTTTTCAAAAACATCGGCACCCCGAGGGTTCATATAACCTCGTAGTTGAAATACCTGAAAGGCTCTGGACAAGATGAGAGCGATACGGCTTAAAATTTAATTCTGGAGTACAACTCTAGTTTTTTGAAAAATCTAAAACCATCCTCCAACATTTCGGAAAAAGGAATTCGGATTTTTCCGAATATGCAATAAAATATTCAGCTCCCCGTCGAAATTACGCTGCCGGTTTCTTTGTGATGGAACTGCAACTGATCCGTTGCGAGAAACATGAATACATTTTTTGTGGTTTACTCTGGAACGAACAGGATATTTCTGGGAGTACAACTCGACTACACGACGCACAATACCACCACTGATAATAAAGCAGCCATACATATCAATTCGCTGTAGAGCGGAAAAATATGCTCTTCGGTTCGTTTTGAATAGAATACTGAATGTAATGAATTGATACTATTTTAAAATTTATTTACTTCCTGGGATTAAAGTTTGCTCTCATAATGCGAGTTTGACAAACAATGCCAGAATGTAAACAACAGAGGCAATTAATGTTTACTTTAGCAAAGAAGCAAATTATTGCAATTAACAACGAAACAGACGAAATGCGTTTTTTCAAACGTTTGCTATAACAGTGTTACTTTTTGTCCAATTTAAAATCGGATTGCACCATTGTTTTTAACGTGAAAAATCCTTTAATATGATGTGTCAGGATGCATAGGGTCGTATTTGAAATGTTTAAGCCGAACTGGCCTGATGTACGTATCCTGTATAAACATGTATAATTTTTACCGATTTTAATTAACCATGTAGAATTATGTATAACCATGTATAATTTTTCAAAAAAAGGTAAAAATTTGAAACTAGACTTAAAATCAAAATTCAACATCTTCATGATCCGCTATTATTATCTACATATGTTGATGTCGTTTCGTCTTTTTTTGTCCAATAAGCATAGAACGTGAATTGTCAATTAATTACACAGAATGAATAATTAAAAATAAATAATCGATTCTGCAAAAACAGACAATCGTGGGCGTACTGGGATTTCATTATTAGTTTAAGTTCACGTGTGCAAACGTAGAAATTAATTCAGAATGTTTTTCACAGCTCATTAAATTTGTAAATGATATAGTCACTTAACATGCACAAACATTTAAAATCAATTAAAAAACTTTACTTAAAATCAATTTTAGTTGTGATATTTAAAAAATAATATAAAATAAGCAATAAATAATAACCACATTAATCATTAATACACGGTTAATCCAAAAGTGTACGATAATGAAAAACGAAATATTATTTTTTTCGTGATTGTTTGCGCTGACCATCTGGAGGACCAACAACTTATTTTGTTTAAGGTATTGTTGAATGGGATTGTAGGAGATAACGTGGGAGTTTAGTATATTTATTTTGATCCAACCAGGAAGATCAATGTTTCGGTCAATGAAGTTGATAAATTTAATTAAAAAAAACAACGAAAAAAGTTAAATAAAACAATAATAATAACCAATAAAAAGAGTTATACCAAGAAAAGTCAATAAAATAACCGGTGTGGGGGAGGTTGTATTTTGTATTTGTAATTTACTTACCAATGTATATCCAATACGATTTTCATGCCTGATTCTTTCTCAATTCGTGGATGTTTTTAAATCGATTTCCAGTAGAAGGCGATGGTCGAATACAGTAAAATATATTCGGGATTTCCGTGAGAGATTTCCGTATTTTATCATATTTGCAACGCAATGTAAAATTGGAGACAAATCGTGAGTGATGAAAAACTGAATGTATGAGAAGATAGGGTACTAAATAGGAAAAGGTATGTAGTATTAAGATAGCGATTAATTTAATTTTATTACAGGAATAAGTAGATATTTTTTATTTATGGATCAATGTTGGCCCATCTCGATTCTAGGGGAGTGGTAGGCGGTTATTATCTATAATCCGTCATAATAAAATTTAACAAAAAAAAATAAAATTTTAACTTTGGGTGATAATTTAATATTCAAATATCTAAATATTATTCCGTTGCATTTAGGGGAAAAAAGAACTAGGCACCGAGTGTAATTTAGTTAAGGTTGAATGTAAAACCTCCATTATCCGGGGTAATGACGGTGAAGGGGGGATCGAGGGAAAATCAAAAACCCCGGATAATGGAATTTATTTTGTTTAATGCGTTAATTAAAAGGTGAATTAAGAAGAATTTAGTGTACATATATTACTTTTATCAATTTTATTAATATTTATCTATCTGAAAACATTTAGTTTAAAACACTCTATAAAAATCATAAAATTTTTCCATAAGGTCAGATCTACAAATGGTCTCCACAGCAACGTTGAAAAATTGATACTAAAGGTTGACACCGATTCTATTCCAAAAATATCATACACATANTACATACATACAATTTAATATACACGATTTTTCGTAATGAAAAATTTGTGTCACAGGTGAGATTCGAACCCACGAATCGTCTGGAGAGGAACGAAAAGGTGGACTTAGCGACAAAGGCTGGAAACCTCCGGACTTTATCACCGTGACCCGGCCCTGTTACGCTTAAACTCCAATAAAAATCACGATTAAAAGAATGGGCATCGGTGGGCTGGATCGGCTGAGAATTCTTACGTATCAAGACCTTTGCCGTTAGATGTTCCTCAAATGACCCTTTCATTCTGAGTCGTAGAAGAAGGGTCAACCTCGGCCGATTAAGTGTGTTAAGTGTGTAAAGTTTACACCTGGCAACTTACTTTTACACGAATTCAGCGTAGTGTTCGTCAGCGAAAAATGGTTGGTGTCCCACCTTTAAAGGGTGAAATTCCTGGGCTCCATATAGAGAGCGCGCAAGAATGCCAACCGGTATGAGAATTGTTTTTGAGCAGGACAGTGAGTATCTGGGTCCGATTCTTAGACGCAACAGAGCTGTTTTATTACATAAAGTAGTGATTTCATAGTGCAACCTAGTATACACATGTTAGCGAATGTGTTTAATAGAGTAAATATGTAGTGCGAGAGGTTCGATGGTGGAATATTGACCAGTTATATAAAAGTGTAAAGTATGATGCAGGAATATTGATTACCATTTGCACCAACCTAATTGAGCGAATTTTATGTAAATAAATGTATAAATGTATTTAAGATTGAATGAGGGTGTGAATGGATTTAAAAACTGATTGCATAAGGAGCTGAAATGACCTAGCCGTTGATAGCCCCTCGAGCTCTAAACATTGGTGGCTGGGCGGACAAGACCATGGTGTAACCCCGGACTGTCAGCACCTGGGATAGGTGATTCTAAAAGTAAAGTATAAAAGCTGGTGGACTGCGAGAAGTGATATTTTCAACTCTGTATATGCGTGTGTATTGGACTTCCTTTAACTTGGTAAATGTGTCGTGTCAAGACTACGTCAAACATTTGTATCAATTTTGTTATAATCTATTTATTAATCTACCTTACTGTACCAGATTAAAATTTGGTTATAATATAAGAAAATAATTTTTTGTATTGTGCGATATCTTTCTGAGATCTGCGTGGTAGTGAACTTTAGTTTAGTCGTTTCCGATTCGTTCAGTCTGCCCATTCTCGGAATTTGCGTACAGATACATCAGTGAAGATAGCGGGATGCCGAAACGTATCTGACAGACCACACGAGGCATATTAGTTATGAAAAATATTTTACCTGGCAGATAAGCCCTGAATCCACCTCCAAGCAAAGCCTGGAACGTCAACGGTGGAATTGTGTAAATCGGGGTGTGGAAGTGGACAAAGTGAACTGGCAAAAATTGTGATGATGACGGCCCGGCGAGAAGGGCTATCGATGCGGCGACGAAGAAACCGGCGACGGTCGTCATATCGTACATCGTTCTGTTCCACGGTCAGGAATGGACTGCTGTCTATGTGGCCTCCTCCTTTCAGGTTTGGACGCAAAAGGCACGCCGTCCTTGACTCAGTCTTCTAGTATCCCTTCATCACTTTCGAGGTCCACAATTTGCAATTACACATGCATCTCAGTTCCGGGAACAGCTCATAAATATTTATCGAAACGTGTTAATAATGACTTTATAATCACAGCTTTAACTAATCCAATAATGCGTACTATCTAGTAAACTATCCAGCAAGTTTTTTAATTGGTATACGAAAGAAAGAGCCTTTTTGTTTTCCCCTGGTCACGGATTTGTTCGAATGACTCACGATGAAACCCCACAAGTGAATATTTAACGATGAAAATAGTGTGAAATTGGCAAAAGTAATAATTGAAAAACCATTAATAATTGATGACGTTGTTGAATAAATCCCATCCCATACTTGAATAAATGATTGAAGTTGAGTGGTCTACGAGTTGTTAAAAATTTATCAACACTTTTCGCATCCTGGTCGGTAAAACGCCAGTTTGGGGAACTACAGTGAAAATAGATGAACATGATCTGGAAATACCGAATTCAGTAATTTATGACCGATAGAATATTCATTAAAGTGCGAACATGCTAAGTCCACTAGCAAAACAGTAACATTATCTGTGCCTAAAACGGCTTATTTAATTTGCTTATCACACGGTCCAACATTTCCCAATTTAAGCCAGATTCACAGACGACCAATGTACACCTGAATGGAACACAACCATCGAAGTGAAATAATCAATGACACTAATGGCGAGAAGCCCAAATGTCACAGACCAATTGATAGGAAACGTACTAGCTACAGTATTCAAGAGGAACTATGGACGAAGTTTAAATTTATCAGCTAATGTTTTTACACTAAGCATCCCAAACGGTTCGTAAGTATCAAGAACTTATTTTATTGCCTTTTAAGCCAACCTGCAGCGCGTGGAAGTTATATTAATATAGGAATGTTTAAACCTAAACTGAAATCACGAATAAAAGCAATATCGGAAAGAAAATAAGATTGGAATGGAGAGAATTAACAAATGTCCGCAAAATAGAGCGGATAAGCAAACCAAGAAGGTCAAGAAGGAATCGTGTTCCGACTGTTCACAAAAGTGGATCTTGTTCTTACTTTTAATGAGTTTCGCCATTTGGTAGAACAGCTTTGCCAACTTCCCAGTCCGGTTGTTGTTACCTTCATCCTAGAAATCTGACAAGCTGAGTAAAAGCATTAAGTAGTATTGAAAATAAAATTGTTTAGAAATTTCTTATTAATATTCTCGGATAAGGCTTTATCCCAGGGGCAATTTTTATGAATAAAAAAAAACCGACCACATGGTTGGTCCACGAAAAAATGGCTAACTTTGCCAATGCATATTTTCTTAGCCTTTTAAGTCACAGACCTGCGCAAGGTCTCATTTTTTTAGAAAATTTTACGCTGAAAACATGATGTTGTTAAAAACGTATTCCTAGCCTCAGACATTCATCAGTAAATTCAAAAATTCGGGACATGCTGATTTTTGCAATTTTTACGAAAACTTCAAATTGAGCTGTGGAGCCAAGAAATAGCCATGGAACGGCGCCCTATAGCAATCGATAGGAAATTTTACTAAGCTTTCAATTTTCCCGATTTCCTAACCGTTATTTTTTGGGCAAAAACGTGGTTCTTTACGTGCTCATGGAAAAAAAACCGATCACATTCTCTCCCGATTTTACCATATATAAATCTATTGTGTGGTGATTATTAGTGAACGTTAATCAATAATTATTCCGAAATCTATTGTTTCAATACGTTATTCGAAGCCAAACTGACACGACACCTGCGAAACCCTAACCAATGGGAAGGAACGTTGAATTTTCGTGTTGAAGTAAACAAGTGGTTGTCGACAGCAGGAGTATTCCACAACTCAAAAGGTCAAAGTAACAAAAAGTAAGAATTGTAGCTTCCCAGTTCACTTTTTTGAAAAAAGTCCTTGGAACAAAAGTTGTTGAGCGTGAAATTTGCGAAAACATGAAGGTTCAAAACTTATGCATTCTTGAAAATCGTGAGAGTATGATCAGTTTTTTTAAATTATGTCATATATTTTTCTAAAGAATAAGAACTATAGCAGGTCTGTGACTTAAAAGGCTTAATATATGTGCATTTCCACCGTTGGCCGTTTTTTCGTGCAAAAACCACGGTTTTATTTGAATGGCAATGTATATTGGTTCGAAAATCTTTTTAAATTGCTCTGATTTCTTGGTATAATCGAAGAGCGAGCTGTTCGTTAAAAGAAATAATTGTTGTGTGAAGGATAGACGATGAGGGTACTAAGAAGTGGTGGTATTTGATATTCCCAAACAATGCGGCCTTCTGGTTTATTGCACTTTTTCTAGTTCTTTAGTTCAATTCAATTGACTCAAACCGTTCGATTACATTCAAAGAAAAAAAAATGTATGGCAGTTTCTTCCTTCTCATTGCATTACCTACAAATTGAGTATTGATTATGTCCGTGTTTTCTCAGATATCAGTTATTTGTATATAGCCCTATCATTCTGACTACCCTGTCTAAGTGTAGTTAGTAATGTGCTTGCCACTTTTGGCCATGGCTTTAACTATGATATCACTTCATCGTTTATTTTGTGTTGACCTATTTACGAGAAGGCAAAATGTCTGTTTATCTTGTTATCACCCTTACATTTTGCGCCTATTTAATCTTGCCAGTTTGTCTGCCTGTTCATTACCCAGAATGTCTTTGGGCACTCGCACCGAAGATTAGGTTGCTATACTTTCCCATGGTCGTGTTTGGATTTTTGGATAAGACCAAATATTTTGGATGACGCCTTTTTACGTGCTAATGCTTTTAGGGCCGGTTGGCAGTCAGATCTTATCAGAATGTCTTTTAAGGTTTTCTATGGCTCAATCGTTAACAGCATTTTACAAAAACCGAGGTGTATTTTCATAATGAGATTCATACCTGACGTTACTGCTTTTGTAAACCATATAATTATAGATGTTTGATTTTCTCCTGAGTTATTATTTCCCATTGAAGTCTGTTAAAATTTTATTGGATATTGAAAAGAATGTTTCTGGAATGTGAAGGATTAAGAGATAGTTTTAAAGAATATTTTCAATTAATTATTCTTTTCATGTAAGGTCTTGGTTGAGTTAAAAAAGTCAGCGTCACGAGCGGGATTCGAACCCACGACCTTTGGCTAAATACGCCGCTGCTCTACCACTTGAGCTATCGTGACTTCTATCCTCTCGGACACCAACTCCCCATCTCAACCTACAACCGATCGAATTTTCCCTCTTTTTGTCATTTTCAACTAAGACCTTACATAAAAAGAATAATTAATTGATAGAAGTAACTTGGTCAATTGACTTCTAAAAACATAAATGGATTAATATTTAATAAGTAAAAGAAATATCACTTCACTAACAGCTCCCCGTGGCCACTTCATAAGTCGCTGAGAATCGAATCCTGATTGCACGGCATTTGAAAATGCAAAAAGGGGAAAAATTCGAACGGTTGTTGGTTGAGATGGAGAGTTGGTGTCCGAGAGGATCGAATTCTCGATAGCTCAAGTAGTAGAGCAGCTGAGTATTTAGCTGAAGGTCGTGTGTTCAAATCCCGCTCGTGATACTGTCTTTTTTATCTCAACCAAGACCTTACATAAAAAGAATAATTAATCGAAAGAAGTAACTTGGTCAATCGACTACTAAAAACAAATGAATTTTAAAGAATATTTTGTACAAGCTTTAATTGATTGTGGTACATTTGTATTAGGTAAGTCCATACGCCATGTGTACAATGTGGAAGTGCTGTTATTTCGTTTTCACTGTTTTTCGACGCGTCGTCCTGAATGTACAAAACCTATTAACAGCCTGAAATGAGCTTTAAAATTGCAGATTTCAGTTTTATGAAAGGTAGGAAGTAACCTTGTGGGTTTTTCTTTGCCATAAAACTACGCTTTTCATAACCTGATTTAATCGCTGTGCATTCGTTTAGGATTTGATGTTTTTATAGGTTTATGGCCGGTGTATTATTTCCTTGCTTTTATTTACCGTTAAAGAGCTTATTTTTTCTTTGTGTAAGGAATTTCAGAAGGGCTGGACTTGAAAAGGCCTCAATATTAAACAAGAAACGTTTAAAACACTGTTATTATTTTTTTATGGGGAAGGCATGCAGCTAAAAGGGAAAGCGAGAATTTTATTAACTACTCGATCCTTTATCGCAAGAAATGGATTATTTTTAGCCGTGGTCGTCGGTCACCGTGCATTGTGGCACGACGATTTTTAATTACATTAGAGTAAGACCGTTATTTTCATCCTCTTATAGTTCATATTTCATGTTTCTGAGCTTAGCCTAACCCCCTTTTTGTTAATTAATATAATGGGAAGGGCGGGCTGCAGGCCGTTCCGATGTACAATGCCGGCCCAACACCACTTAATTGCGAAACTCCCCTGACTTTCAGCCGAACAGAGTTGTTCAGCCGTGTAAATCACCCAATGTTTTGGGCATAACAATCGTTTCGTGCCATTCGCTTTCATTCGAGCCGACAAAAAAAAATCTGTACGAGTTTGTCATCGAGGGAACATTATGGTAAATTTTTAATTGGTTTTATTGATTTTCCTTTCCCCGGGGCTCAACAGAAACATAAAATATTGGCAAACGCATAATAAATAAACTCCCTTTCCCAAAACCTCTGTCGTACGTTATTTTGGTCTACTGAACTTTAAACTGACGTGGGCTGAAAATGCGGAATTTTTAATTATCACTATGATTATTTGGAGATCTTGAGATGCGATCTGGTGTGACGTAGGTTTAGAAAAACATTTTCTTTATTTTACCAACGTTTCGATCTTTATTGAGATCATGTTCAGGGCCAGGGGTTTATAAACATTGTATTGTACAAATACATGCAGGATGTGAAAAAATGTATTTATACAGTGCTAGAAATTTTAGACTCAATCAAATTAGACACAATCTCATTCTACACAGAAAAAAAAAACATTTTTAGTGAGTACAAATACTTTGAGTCTAAAATTTCTAGCATTGTATAAATTCATTTTTTCACATCA